TACTTTCCGTACCCACTGTATATTAGGTTCTCCATTCTTATCCAACCAATGTTATTTTACTTTCAAATTGGGTATCATTTGGAATACTTAATCTCACATTTGACTTCTGTTGACACACAGATGAGATTTTCTTTTTTTTTTTAATGTGGCAATTTAAATTCAATTTCTCAGGGATCACAATATTTCAGCAAGGATCCATGAAGTCCTTTTATTGCTTTAAACTCATTTTATTTTATTATCAATTCTGGGTGTGCACTGATATGGGTTACTGCATTGCCAATATTTCTAAAGCCACGTTTTGAAGGAACCGCACTGTTTCATGGAGCAAGGCATAATCTATTATATTCTCTGCAACTTCTGTCTGGAGAAAGTGTTCTGTTGTGTGGCATTTAAATTACTTTTAACTTAAAAAGTGTAGAGCATACACAACTCAGTGGGTGCTATAAAAGGAGGCTTAATACTGTACTATTGATTTCACAAATTTGACAACTAAAGCTGATGTTAATGGAAAGTATGCCAAGCATTTATGGACTGATACAAGTGACAGTTGCTGCAGTTATCTCATAAATGTCATAGATCAAACGTTTAAATATTTATGAAGACAATAAAATATATATTGCAGTAATATAAACCACATTGTGCTGTGTGCAGTTTTCCATATGCAAGGTTTACTTACCCTACTGATAGCCAGGAGGAAGTCCAGGCGCTCTGAATTGCGGACTGAATGTCGTAGTTTCCAGTAGAGAAGATGTTCCCAAGCAAAAACCAGCAGGCTCAGGCCCATGGCAACAAGCAGCATGTAGAAAACCCCTGCCATATTGTCGATGTCCAGCTTACTGCTCATCACCTCTTTCTTCTCGTTACGGCAGATGCCCGTGAGCCAGACAGTCTGCAGTTTCTGTGTATCACCTGTGAGTGAGGAGCACAGAAGACAGACTTCAGCTGTAATTGCATAACACTAATATTATCTGGAGACTTTCCAACACCCATGAAAAGTGCAGATGCAGTTATTATGCCATTAGTTGTACTGTTCTTTTAATTCCACCATCTATTGCATATACTGTATATGAAGAATTTACCATCAGCCAGGAACTGGAGTAGGGCCAGGTCGATGGGTCGTTTCCACCGTGAATCTTTCTGCAGGGCAATGCCGTAACCAGTGGTAGCAAACACTTTCCCACTGCCAATGGTCACCAGCTTGCAGCCTTCATCTTTGCCAGCCATGTAGTTCAGCACAGCAGCATCATAGATAAAGGCATCCAGTTTCCTAGCAGGGCAAAGACAAGAATTTTTACTCAGTTATTGTATATTATATTACTTTTGGCTCTCAGCTCACCTGTATGTATTTTTATCAATCTTGGCAGACACCTACCCTGCTTTGAGGCTGTTAAGGGCATCCTCCACTCCCTTCTGGTTGTATTTGACCATGTGGGAGTGCATCTCGGGATAGTTGCTCCTTATGTTGCGCTCTGTGCTGCCATTTGGTACTGTACCAAAGCGGAATGGAGGGTACTGCTCCTGTGGCTTTTGAAACTGTTGAGAGGTAAAATAAAGACTGTTAAAAGACAAAAATGATGATGGTGAATAGAAACGACCGTTTTTTTCCTAAAAAAATTCTTTGATCTAAGTAGTTATCAGTGTAGAGACCTCGGCATATGAGCATGTAATCCAATTCAGTTTGCCCCATCGCCCTGATGGTTGTTTTGTGATTTCATTACAGTACTGTCATTTAGATGTGCCATACTTGCTTTAAGGCCCAGATAAAATGAAACTTTGAAATGCTAATTCAGGGCCATTCATCACTTTGGCTTTTTGTGACTTCTGCTTCACCTCCAGAGTTCTGTTGTGCTAGGCCTCTTGCTCTGATAATTTACACATCTGACTTTACATTTTTAAGACCCCACAATCAGAAATGAACTCTGTGTCCACAGGGATCCAAATTCCCTTCTTCTTTTCCTTGTCTGCAGTAAGAAATTACTTCTCATGTGATTGCTTTTCTTTTGGCAGTATTGTATGCATTTAATTAGCTGCAAGGGCAGGAAATGAAACAGGGAGAAATAGAATGGACATAATTGCACTTTTTCATTAACCTTATGCAAATATGTTCCCAGCATATTAGTGAAGAACACTGAGCTAAAGTTTATATCTGAGAAAAAGAGAGTAGGAATTTCTGCACAGCGTCTCCTACTGCTAACAAGCATGAAAAAGGGATTATAATTTCAAGATACCAAAACTTAGTTAAAACAAAATTCTTTTTACTGCAAGAGCTGTCAGAGTTTTAATTTGTTCTTTTTGAGAAAAAGGGGCAATATAATCTGAGGACAAGTCAAAAACAACCTCTTCTGAATTCTAAAAACAAACCCTGAGAAATCTCCTAAGGTCATGTAAATGTATAGAGGCTGAAATCAGAAGTTTGTCTTTTGGGACTTTTACAGTCTGTACAGCATAAGAAAAAAGGAGAAAGCTCAAGAAAAGCAAAAGAGTATGAATGCCTTTTTTCATGATGTGAAATGATACGTTCCTGCACAGAACAGAGAAGTATAATTGTAGAGTATTAAGTACAGAAACTGAAATACTTTACACAGCCAGCAACTACATTGCAAAGTACAAGGAATGCAATAAATGACCCATATCTGTGTGCTTCTGCTTAAGTAGTCCTCTGATGAAGACATGCTTAATGTTAAGTTTGCTACACCTTATTAACTATAGTTGTGTGCTCTAGACCTCACCACTTCAGGTCCCCACATCTAATAGCCTCTTTGCCCTTCAAAATGCATGTTCCTCAGATAACACTATGGCTAAGGAAACTAAAACTATCTAGGGATAGATGGTGATCTTGGATAAAAGACACTTTGTTGCACTTTGCACTCTGAGAGGCAGCAACATCCTGCTGCTTTGACCTTGTTGTCTGAGAGGGATCTACAATAGGTCTTATTGTCAGACTTCTGCATCTCCATAGAACCTGCTTAGATTAAACTACCTTGCTTATCTTGGCATTATATGACTAAAACTGTTTCTACATACACCTTATTGGCACTATATAGGACAGAGACATAAGCTGCTCCCAATATATGATAGCTCCTACGTCCTCCAATTGTCCAAGAACACTCTTGCAATATATCTGCTCGGAGGACTGAGGAACAAGGAGGCTGCTGGGGGAGCTATGAGTGAGGATACACAAGAGCATTCGTTGCAAAAGTCTTTTATGAACAGAAACACCTTTTTATCAGAAATCAACTGATGATTGAATTTTTCATATGAAGGTCATTAACATGTTTCTCAAGTTCTATTTCCTTGCATCTTACGTGGGTGGGACTAAGATACAAGGAAAAGACACAAGTGAGAGAAACGAGGATGCATATAAGAGAGTTGGGAAGCAGTCATAGTGCATGGGAAACCAGTGATGGGTTGAAGGAGGTTGGGCGATGTCAGAGTTAACATGATGTGCTACCCTATCATAAAGGACATTCTTTATAGAAGTGTCTGTTCTGTAACGATGAAGTAATCGTCTACCTTAATACAGCATATTATCCTTAGAGCAGCTCAGCTCGTCTTCATCACTGTCTTTTCTGATACAAGGTCACCTTCTGTGGCTTAATCTTGTACCTTGTGTATATTTACTTACCCTGGGGGGTCAGCACAGCTGGACAAGCCACAGTTCAACCCTCCATTCCCAACATGCTGCCAAGCAGGATGTGGTTCAATAGTCTATGTACTTGTTGTCAAAATGGTTGTTTCTTTCTCTGCATAGCAGAGTTAATGAGATGAGAACTGTAAGTGACTCTGCCAGAATTACACTGAGCAGTGGACAGCTTGATCTTTTCCTAAAATGCCTCTAATCCCTTCAGCTGTCTGTGAGCAAAGAGTCTACAAGTAATTTCTTGTTCCAACAGTTTAACGTGGATTTCCTTGTCAATGCCCATATAAAACACATCGTCAGGCAAGACAAATATGCAAAGATAATACTAGAAATTAAAATCACTGTCTGCCCAGAAAATCCACTTGTGTGTTATATTTCATTCCCAACTAATGTGTGTGGGGATGTATTTCAATTTCACCACTTTCTCTCCGAAACCTTTTATATTTTGTGGGGGGAAAGTCACAGCCATGACATTGGCTCTTCTGGATATTTGCCTTTCATAGCTCTATCACACGCTGTTTACACACCGGAAATAGACCACTTTGTTTTTTGTAAACTGTTCATCCAACACAACAACACACCTGATAAGACACATAGGACTGTCGATGCCAATGACAGAGCTTTATACCTTTCTGTCACTCAGTCCAGAGACTGTGTCGATGTATTGTTCCTGGATCATAAAGGCTGCCAGGTTAGCTGTGTAGGAAGCCAGGAAGATGACAGCAAAGAAAGCCCAGACCAGGACCATGATCTTACTGGTGGTGCCCTTGGGATTTTCAATAGGCACTGAGTTGTTGAAGACGATCCCCCACAGCAGCCACACTGACTTTCCAATGGTGAAGGTTGGACCTCCAGGATCTACGAAGGGTGAAGTCAACAGTGGACAGGAATGAGTCTATACATGGGGAACAATGGCTATGCCAAAACACACTAAGTCTGTAATTGCCTTTTAAAATGACATTTATGACCTTTCCAAAAATACAGTATAATTTGTTTAGTGATGAATAGTGTTGTACTAAACAGAAATCATCTTTGATCTCACCGACTACCACCTATATCTTTTTAAATCACAGAACTGTCAGTATATTGATTTGGCTTTAAAGAGACAGTTCTCTTTGTTGGGGAGTGGGGTCAGCAGATGGGCTGGGGAGGCCAGACTCACCTTTGGCACTGACCAGACTGCGGTTGTACCCAACTGGACTACAGTATTCAAAGACGAACACTGTGATGGCCACAACAGTCAGACACATGACAAACATCATCACCCAGACGGCCGGACTATATGGCTCTGCAGGGACAGAAAACGCAGTCAGGCAGGTGAAATACACTGAAGGAAAGGAGGAGCTAACTGAGAAAATTCAAGATTCAGAGTTCATCTGTTGATAGTGATAATATATATAATACTTTTGATTAAATGAATGCAAAAATTCGAAATAAAAATATATGAATACAAAAGGCAATTCAGTACAGTAAAAATTAATAAAATTTAAAAAATCTTTTAAAAAGTATAATGTAAAAAAAAAGGATTTGTTGACTGTAACGGAAAAACGGATACACAAATATGCAATAAATAATTAGAATAAAAAAAAATAATATGAAGAAACATTTGTTGCTATATGTTTTCATTCACTGCAAGTATGGAGGAGTCTCTCACCTAAAAAGGCAGATGGTGAGACAGTCCCGTTACTTCTGGCCACCATCACACTGATTCCTGTCTCCACAAATGGCACTGAGAAGTCAATGATCTCTGAGCGCTCTTCGTTTATGGTCAGTGAGCCGATGGCCATGTCCGCCCGTTTGTAGACCACCTGTGGTGGGTGTAAAGTCAAAAAAAGAGATTTTTTTGGGCAAGACCCTGAGTACCAGTGTCTCACAATCCTCGACATCCACTGCTGACCTTTGAGATAAATCTCATCTATTAGTGCAGTCAGCACACTCGACCTCTGTTCCTGTGGGTGATGTATTGTCTGGTTCTTCCAGCCCACGCAGCAGCCAGATGGACACAACTCAACAGCATGTCTCAGTATTATCTTGCCCTTTGTCACCACTCCTTTGTAAAGCATGATCTGTCATCAAATCCATCTCTAATCCAATATATGGTATTGCAGCATATACTGTAATGCCTGTACCATAATTCTATTTCTTCTAATGTTTGAACCTTCCATTGTCCCACCCGTATATTTCAAACAGCCCTGTCATATATTCACAGCCCTTTCTGCCATACCACACCACTGTTTATCATGCTGATGGAGAGCTAGTAGATTTACAGTCTGCCTCACGGAAGCCATTAGCTTTCCTATCGAGGTTGAAGCCTCATTGAGCACAATAGCCTTCTTGTTTTGGAAAAGGGCCAGCTAATGTCCGACTCCTTAAGAGAACGGCCTGCCAGAACAGTCTTTCTTGAAATTATTCACAAGGACACCTAGTCATCCTTTTTGTACCGCAGTCCCACCCTCATTCACTGTAGTGACCTTGGCGTGTATTTATGTACTCATTAATCTTGACTTCAAATTACTTTTTCTTTATATTTTTTTTAACAAAGCAAGAAATACTTTTGTCTGATTTTCATTTTGATTTCACTTTTATTCATTGTTGGTTGGCACAGGTTTTACTCAGTCAAAGAATAACATAGATATTTTACTTTCATGATTTTTTTAAACTTAATACTGATTTGGGTCAATCAGTGGGTTATACACTGATCACACACAAAAGTAATAATAAAACCAATTAAAGTTTAATTTGGCATTTGTATACATATACAATACATCATATCATGTTCTTTCCTTGAAATAGTAAACATTTCCCATCGTGAATATTTCAGCCCAACAGATATTTCATGTCATTTGTATCTTGACAATGTCACTGTGGCCCACTTGAATGAGAAGATGGCACTGCTGCCATGTAAAGCTAGTTTTTCTTACCTCTCCGATCATCCCGTTCCAAACGCCACGAACTAGCTTGCCGTGCTTGCCGTTAGTCACCAGGTAGAGGTCGAAGGAGAACTTTATGGTGCGGGACAACTTCTTCAGGATGTCTATGCAGAAGCCCTTACAGCACAGTTTTGTGTACGGCTCAGTGTGACCAACAATACTAAAAGTGAAAAGGGAGAGAAAAACAGAAAATGAGGAAACTGTGATGAATTGTGGGTGATATTTATTCTTCAAGGTCAGTGTGGTGTCTTTCCTGCACTGTTGATCTTGACCACTCAGTTCTCTTTGTTATAAGTTGTGCTGTTAAACCATTATTGTATATTATCAGTTTAAGTAAAAATCTACAATCATTACATCCAATGGATTATTTGAAAATACCAGTATTTTCAAATAAGTACAATACAGCAGTACACTAACAGCAGGCTCAAAGTCTTAAGGGTTTTTCTCTGGTCCCTTGAATGTATGACTGAGGAGGTATGAAGGAGGCATGAAGGACTGAGAAGTAAATATAAATCAGGCAATGATGCTGCTGGAGTTGAGGAGAGGACTCATCTCCCTGTGACGTCAGGGTATGGGGGGCACATGAGGGAAAGCTGGAGCTTCTCCATAAGCTTGTGCATTATGTCATGGCCTTGACAGATGGACAGACAGCTGGGCGGACCAAAACAAATCCAACACAAATTAATCACAAACAAACAATGGCAGACAGGAGTGAGACTCATTGCTATATTATTTGGACTGGATATTGGGAACTTGGCCGTTGCTGCCAGTCTTTAAAATGTTGCCTGAAGAGTGGTAAATAAGTAGTTAAAACATCAACAGGCTAAATCCGTGATTCATTACAGGTTAACAGTGTAAATCTATGGCTGAACCATTTTGACAACAACTGGAGCCAGAATTGCAAAAAGCAAACAGTTGTGTGCAGTTACTTTTAATCGGAATAGCTGCCAATTGATTCTATATTGATCAACTAATTGATTAATTGGCAAATTTTTTCATGTCCTGGTCCTAATGTGTGGGTGCAGAGGCCATTAGACTAAAGATCTGGGGGAGGTTAGGGGTGATGTGTCAGTGCTTTCTAATTCAGGTATCTTCCTGTGAAAACCTGTAAAAATAATTATTGCAGCTATTTAATGAAGAAACCTTAGAGCAATTAGTATAAAGAAAGCATGTCAATTTTGAAGATCGGTTGCTTCTTTGTGATTTCTGACATCTTTCACCTCAGTCACTTTACTGATAAGGATAAATATTTACTTGCTTCTCGGCTTATACCTGATCTAATAAGAGCAGCCTCTACTTGTCTTGTGCCATACAGCAGTAGTAAAAACCTGGTAGTGTAGAGGCTGGCGGGCTGCCAGTTTCCTCAGCAATTGTGTCATGTTTTATTGTAATTTATCTCCTGACAGAAAGCTTTTATTGCTGTGTATTGCAGCTTGTAACTATTTCCTTTTAAACTCACACCTGTTCCTCCCATCCAACGCTGTTTTTACTCACGTCTCTTGCTGTTTCAAAGAATAAATAATTTGATGTGGTCTATTGCTAAACTGTTTTAATAAGGACAAATACCCATCTAATACCTACAACATGCTAATCTGTTGTACTGATCTTCAGACTGAGCATGCAGCAGAGGCCAAATGCACAGTTTTAGGCTCTGCATACCAAGTAACAGGCTGACATAAGGGTTGAAATCAGTTCCCCTAACTTTATTAGCAGAATTACCAGGAACACAGAGATGAAAATGTCCTTCAGCTTCACACTAACTGAATGGTGGCAGTGATATGTGTCCAGAAGAAGGGAGAGAATAGGGCAGATTTGAAAGTTAACCTTGAAATTAACGTTTATTTCAGCAGTCTGTTCCCAAGTTTGGCAAATTAAGGGATACTTGAGGTGTTATATATTTTATAAATTATATATTTGCTGCTTGTGATGATTAGCTAGAAAGGACTGCTGTTGTCCAAGATTGATAAGATAGGGAGGCATCATTTTTAATTTTCTCATTATTATTGAAATTCAAATTTTTTGTTCTTTGTTTGACATGATACAAACTTGGTGTAAAGATTTAAATGACCTTTGCAGTGACCTTTCTCTATATATCATTTGTGTGAGCAGGGCAGCCGACATCGGGGGAACATCAGGCCAGTTGTCTTGGGCCCCGGATTGGCCTAAAAGGACTTTCTAACCTCTAACGCCATAAAATTCTATAAATTATGCCATAAAATGGTTTGATCTGTGTTGCTACTGTGAGGACAGGAAATTAGCCAAAAACAGCTGGGTCTTTTTGATAGCCTGGCATCTTGAGGGTGTCGCTCAGCCTCTTGAAAGCTGCTCTGTTATGATATCAGCTTCTTCTGGGGTCTCCTGACTCCATGAAGGTGGCATGCCAATGCTGCCTCCTCCATCTGTGTCGTCGTGTGCATTGGTGGTGACAGTGGTAACATTTTTAACTGTATGCCACTTAATCTCTGTTGCTGCACCTTAGTGATGGAGTGGATGCGGGCTCATGGGAGGCACTGTTATGTTGCTCCTGACCTAGTCAGGTGAGGGAGCAGCGAACTAGTGAACCATGGGCGCCATTCAGAGGGCACTAATGGCACGTCACCCCTAACCTCCCACAGATCCACAGTCTAGTGACTCTGCGCCATCACATCAGGACTAAGAGCCAATGAGAGGAACATATGAGGCAGCAATGAGGCATTGCTGAGCCACAACAAACAGAAAGAAATGATTTTAAAGAAAAAATGAGACTGCCACAGCAGACTGCAACTACACACAATGGTCCCAACATCCCCCGTCTCACCAGCTGCCAAGGTTTAACACTGGGCTCTTAAGCCTGCTGCCAGTTGCATTAAAATGGGTCTTTGGGAATCGTCACCAATGTGTTTGTGTGGCAATTTATTCAAAAGTGTGGACATTGTTAGAGTAGTGTTTTGAAGCTGCCCTATGGATGGTGTTCAGCAGCAGTATGTGCTAGACAGCTATTTTAGTGTTTGTTGCCCTGTACCTTGTCAGTGGCGTTTGTGTAGCTGAAGACTGTGCCCCATTTTAAGAAAGTTTTACAGTTTCACTGACAGGCCCTTAGAAGATTCACCTCTTCAACAAGTTGTAAACAGCACCAGATAATTTTTCAGATAAAGGAAGACGAAACATTCCTACCTACAGATTACTATCTGATTACTGAATGGCAGTTTTTGGGCTTTGCTAGTAATAATAGGTGATGATGATACAAATATTTGCCAGGGGGAGGGGGACAGCGGTTGAACGCTTATGATTCTGTTCTCGGCTGAGATCATTGTACAGTCCTTTTCAGACTTGAGATGTGTAACATTGCTGCTTCATTAGACTGTTAAAGTGATGGCTTTCTTGCATTCAGACTTAAGGCACTTTTATGTCATGGCCCCCAGGGCTTTGTTCAGGCATACTCATAACAATGAGAAAGATGAGGGCACAGGGGCCATCTACAAAGCGCAACACCGAAGAAAGATACTATAAAAATATTCACTCTTAGGGTAGCCTAGTGTCACCAAAATCACTTAATGCTGGTCTTCTGTTGATTATACTACAACACTAAGTTTAGAAAAATGTATCTAAGGCTGTTTTCACATTTAGTCCCTTTTAATTGAACCAAACTCAGTCCTCTTTAGAATCTGAGCCGGACACTGGTGTCTGTTTTTTCGGCCTCTCTGAGGATGAGTTAGGAACTACACTGATTATCCACGGGATAGGAAATAATATTAATAATCTAACAGAGGTCATTTTAGGTCACTTATCAAGGAAAATGACATGAGGATTTACTACATTGCTTTGTTTTCTGTCATTGTAAATTGCATGTTTTGGTTTTGGACTGCTGGGTGAACAAAACAATCTGAAGATGTTGTGCTCTGGGAGATTGTTTGAGGCATTCTCACTATTGTTGTTTTACACACAAAGTTAAGTAAATCAGTTAATGATAAAACAATCCACAGATTAAAAATGGGTATGACCCTTGTCTCACTATGCACAAAGATTCATCTTGTTGACATGTAGAAGCATTTACTTTTTCACCCTTCATTGCAACATTCAGTGGTCAGTGTTTCTCCTTTAGCTGAACAAAGAGCTGATCGCTTTATTGAACCTCTTATTGATTTTCTCTGCTTGCTCCATGAATTATTGTGCAGTTCTGTCAAAATGTTCAATTGTCTGACAAGGAGAATTATGCACTTTTTATTCTGGCAGAATGATTTGGTCAGCATGAGCAATAAAGCACTAGAGTGCTCTATAACCCTGAAGAGATGTGATCTTCATCTTTTGTTCCCTACATCTCGTTAACAGCATTGTCAGTAATGGATGAGGTCCAGCACTCCTCCCCCACTAATGAACACCAGTATCAGTCTCTAGGTGTTTATGAATGAGGACAAAGCCTAATTGTCCCATTTAATAGATACCCCACCATGCAGCACATATATTTCCCTGACTGATTCACAGGGTGTGATACTTGGGATGCTGTATTCTGGCCAAGCAGCCTAATGAGAATCTCACCTCATGGAGTGATCAGAAACCTTGTCTGGGCTAATTGCAGGGGAAGAGCCTCTTAATCTCATACATAATGCACTCTCAAGTTACATACAGAATCAATTAAAGAAGGCATATTATTGTCATTATTGTAATGTTTACATGCTTTCAAATTCCTAAGTGTTATCTCATTTAGGGCTGGGTGATGAGGCAAAATATTTTATCATGATAATTTTTTTTATATCAGTTGATATCGATAATTATCCCAATATATATCAATTCAAGTTATTTTGTATTTGTTTACTTGACTGATGAGCACAATGATGCAATAATTATAATCCAATAATCTAATATATATTCATGTGAAATGCGCCATTAAGCATAATGGCTACTTTTAGTTTTGGTAATTTGAGTGTATTTTGATGCTAATACTTTTGTACTTAGTAACATTTTGATTGCAGGACCTTTATTTGTAACAAATTATTTTAAGACTGTGATATTGCTACTTTTAAATAAGTAAAGAATCTCAGTACTTCTTCCACTACTGTTCAGCAATGATGATAAAATTTGAGTTTATTATTTTCTACTTAAATTTACTTAGCCACAAATCAAAAAGAAGATAACTGCTGGGACAAATTACTTTGCATTTCTTGATTCTCACTATTTGTAGGGATTTATTTATTATTTTACCGACATCATCATTGTTAGGCAATATGAAATGATACAGTGAAATTAAAAGCTCATACACTATACTGCACTTCACAGTGGCTGTGATAATAGCTGAGTGCTGCCATGCATATTTAAACCCTGCCCTCAGTCAAAACGACACACAGACCTGAAACGGGATGCAATTTCAGCACTTAATTACACCACAGACATGTTTTTAAAAAAGAGAAAAAAGGAACACTATGAACAGAATCGAGCCATAATATTTGTATCTAATAGCTGTTATATTGGAATGGAACTATTCACTGTTGTTGAATCCCAGCATCACTTACGTCTCTGTCTTGTTGGATTGTCGTCGGCATGGTACAGTGTTACTGACACATGTACCAGTGGCAGGGTCCACCCCCTCCACAATGACAAAGGGCCGTTCCTCCAGTGTGGCCACTGTTAAATGCCTGTAATCTGAAACTGGCTCCATGTAGGAGCCATACCGCGGCCACACAGGGTATCTCATCTGTAGGATCCCCATCTCGTAGGTCCCCACCTGAGGGAATTGAGAGAGGAGGGGTGAATCAACATGAGCCAGTGAAAAATCTCTGCACCAAACTCCAGATGGTTACTGTGATAGGTACAGGGAAACACGTTTCCTAACTGTGCATATGACAAATAAACACTTTGACCTTGACTGGTGTGTTACAATGACAACACACAGGACAACAATGGTTGTTTTAAAAGGGCCACATAAATAATCAGTAGAAAAAAAAATATGGACATGACTCTGTAACCCTGCCTGTAACAACCTCCAATCTTATTACAGTTGTCTCCAGTTCTCTAAGTGCACACAGTGTTTGTGATTTGTGCATCTAGACCTGGTACATCGAGGGGAGTTTTTCTTTGTAGACAATTCAGAGGAAATTGATTTTTGGGTCACAGGGGATGGGAGTAGAGTTATACATCTAATGCAATTCCACCTCCTGCCATGTAACCAGTTAACTAATTTTAATTGGATGATGTGGGGAAATGAGCATTCAGGCAAGATGAATGCATAATCAAGATCTAAAATTAAAACAGCTCAAGCTTATTTATATGAAGACGCTGTGACATGTTTAATATCATGTTCCACAAATTTGCTCCCCTGACTTTGTTTAAATCAGACTGTGAAATGAAAGAATGAAGGTCACTGAGGACCATTTGGACCCCAATTACCCAAAACACTGACAAACCCCAGTGACTGTTAACTTTATGCTGAATCAGAAGGGGTTATGAAATGGTGCATTAGTTGCTGTAATTTACCAAATTAATCACAAACAAATTTTGACATATACAAAAAAAAAAGCAAGCAAAATGCTTGAAAAAAACAAACAAACAAAAAACAGGAGCAGTAGGATAAGGATAAGGATAATCAGTTTTATTTGCCAAGTATGTTACACACAAGGAATTTGTTTCCGGTACAGAACCGATGGCAGCCATCTGCGGCGCCAACTCAACCGATGGCTCCAACCATTGGGGGGGGATTCCCATTGCTACTCCTTTCACAGTACAGGATTTCAAGTTGTAAACATCAAGCATGTTTAATAATCACTATTTTAAAATGGGAAGACCCTGGGCCAGTTGGTGCCATTAAGATTCTCTGTAAACCCCTTGAACTACAGGATCATTGTTTGATTTTTGGGCGACAGTGGTGCGGTGGGTAGAGCAGTCGTCTCCCAACCAGAAGGATGAAGGTTTGAATTTCGGTGCCTGCAGTCCACATGTCGAAGTGTCCTCGGGCAAGACACTGAACTCCCCAAGTTGCCCGTGATGGCGGCGCATATGCACGCAGCGGCCCGGGGCCCTTGGCTCCAAACAAAATTTCATTGTACGTGTTACAATGACAAAAAATAAATTAAAAATCATTTGGGCAGATAATTGATTCCGACCAGCCTCAAGTTGGGAATGCCCTCTGATGGTGAGGAAGGGCAAATTGAAACCCAAAATCTATCCGATTATCCTCTTGTGTGGGGCCAGCATAAGTGTTTCTCCAGCTACCTGTTTTCATGTACATAGGGCGATTAGACAGAGGTGCTTGTGTTTTATGATTCATGAAATGAGGGTCGCTTTACTGCATTGATTTTAATGTTTTTATCACAGGCATAGCAAAAGTTGAACCATGTAATCAGTAAATGTTGAAGAGATATTATTAAGATTAATTATCCACAAAAGATATTTAAGAATTCTCATTTACAAGGCAGATAGACAACATTACTGCATGAACAAATGCATTTCATTAATTTGAATGGGAATTATTGTTGTGACACCAGCTTTAAAGGCTCTGGCAAAAAATCCCGAATCATCTGGTAAAAATTTTGGCTTAACTTTTCATAAAACTCTCGTAAAACTGGCATGGTTTAATACAGGAACAGGAACATCGTACTTCACAATCATCAACAAAGATATAATGATACTATGATAACTTTCCAGTGTTTCAAAATTTTTTTAAAGAGCCCATGGTATGCATTTCCTTGTTTTTTGACTTATCTACAATGTTACAACGGTGAATAATCATCTTAGATGTGACCTGAAGATCAAAAAATTAGGTGAGCATATTGTGGTGGCCGTGCTGGCCACCGGGGTTTAATTCTGATGTGGGTTGTGGGATATCCTATCTGCAACTCGGTTTATCCACGTCTCACAAACTCTTGCTCACAAGACTTTTTCTTTAACAAAATGAAGTATTATGCAATAATTTAGGATTTCCTTGAATGGTCATAATCTCTAGGCAGTTGCGTGTTCATGTGAGCTTGCCTGACATCCACTGGTGCCCCCACCATACTGGCAAAAAGTTATATTGCTTTGTTCGTTATGTATACTTTCAATAAAGCTTATTTAAAAAATGACATCCATGGTGCCATTGTAAAAACAAAATTTTGTGGATATATTTTCCCTCCTGCTGCAATGTGACTAGAGGATGTGGAGAAAAAAATACAGAGCCTGAGGTTCCTGCATGTCCAGGAATGTTCCTATATAGAGATTCACTGTTTTACCTGACCAGGTCTAACCTACAAGCAGCCAGCCTGTGAAGCCCCCGGCAGCGGTGAATGATCAGCTCATCAACACTGGATTTCCCCAGAGCACAATGCCTGTTTGTTTTGACTGCTTGAGGCCAGTGTGTCTGCTGCATGTGATATGCTTCTGGTTAACCAGCAGATTAATGATCCCTGATGTTATTGTCTGTGCTACGCTACCTGTTGGAATTCATTTTACTAGTTTGGGACTCTTTGTGGTCATGTGGAGGATGTAGCTTTTTTAGGGTTACAGTGATCAGCATCTGAGAAAGTGCTGAGGTAAAAAGCTTATTACATCTTAAATGCACATAATCAAAGATGACATTAATATAATGGAAGTCATTTTAGAGTCATGGCTGCTGTTCTGCTGCAGTGACAGTCTCCAATCCTGTGAGGAGGCTTTTCACAAGATTTTAGCTGCAGGGTTTTGTTCCCATTCTGCCCACAGAGCATTAGCGAGGTAATAGTATTAGTAGATATTGATACTGATAAGGCCTGCCTTGCATTCAGTCTTCCAGTTTATCTCAAAGATGTTGGATGCAGTTTAGGCCAAGATCAAGTTCTTCTACTCCAGATTGTGAATGTCTTGTCTTCATTGACCTGGCTTTGTGCACTTTGTTGAAGGAATGGCCTTCCCCAGACTGTTAACAAAAGCCGTTGTCTAAAATTGTAGTGTATACAGTAACATTTTTCTTATTTGGAACTTAGAGGCCAAAACCAAACCACAAAAACATGTCCAGACTAAATATTTGCCAGGGCGTTTGCATAGTGCATATACGTATTTATAGTATTTAATGTGTCTAGGTCATGTAAATACATCAGAAAGCTTATAAACAAACGTGACTCTATAATATTGCTATTTCATAAATATCTTGCATCAGCTCAGTTACTCCCGTAAAATGAATTAGCGAACATTTAAATGGCAGTCTATTTACAGTATATAACAAACACTTGATGCGCTGCTGTAAATGTCATTAACTTTCTGGAGAGCTAAAAATGTCTGGACAAAATGTTTTTCCTGCCACATAATTGCTGGTTTTTTCTGCAGTAAAAGGACTTATCCTATCTGAGCTCACTAGTCAGTACAGCTTGTCAAATGAAAACAACTGAAAGTCAGGGAGAAATGTGTAAATACCCTAATTCTCTTCGGACGTTTCAGTTATTCCTCTCTGTTGCCAGTCACATTGATCGGCCCTGCTGTTTACCCTTTGCTGCACTCACGGGTGTTTAGTCAAGCCAATCAGAATTTCCAATATTATGAAAATATACTGAGATGAACATCTCCGTGGCTGCTCAGACTGCGAAGCTTTCTGTTTGCCGTTACACAGCACAATAAAAAGTGCTATCAAATGTCATTGTTGAACTCTTGAATAATTCAGTAAGATGTACAACTCTTACTGCTTTAGATAAGTTAAATAATCACTAGCTGTCAATCTAGTGACACATATCAGAAAAAAATCATTGGGAAAATTTTTAAACAAGATTACTATTTGCAAGTTTACAAGCCCTTCTTCAGCCATTGGACTTTAATTTAAGGGTTTGTGTGTATTACAGATGTACTGTACACCTGGAGAACGGCAGCTTTTTAGTACTGTATATCACCCTGCCATATAACAACAGTGACATGAACACTCCCTATCCTCCTCTGGGGCTTCTTTTCACTGTCATCACTCTTTTGTCATGCTCTCCTTCAGTCTTCCCAAGTTACCTTGACTTTTAGATTTAGGGAAGATGTCAGGGAAGCAGCTTCACAATGGCTCTTGGGAAGCTGTAAATTACTGCAACTGTGTGTGATAAGAGCATTGTGCTGGTTTAAAATAATAAATAAAATAGATGAGAAGTGGTATGAAGTATCTGTCTCTACAGTGTCACACCGAGAGTGGTAATACATGGGCGATGGGTGAATGTAGCAGACTGGCTGCCCTGCAACACGGGGAATAAGAATACTGAAAAAAATGCAGTAAAACGGTGCAATTGATTTTCAGCTCAAAGAGAAAAGATGCCAGAGGCAGCAAAAAGTTCAATAGTGAAGAGGTATCGCTTTGCTGAAATTCTGTGAAATGACACCGTGTTGTGTGTGTGTGTTTTAATTCCAAAAGGTTTAGGTAAAGGTCAGCATGGTGGAAAAGAGAGGTGAAGTTGGGGTGAGTGAGAGGACATGCTAAGAAGTCTTCTCTGTCAGCAGTCTTTTAGCTTTTATGCCAAAGTGTTGCTGATTGAACATGACTAAAATCTTCTGCTAACCTCAACTAAACTACTTTTGTCTAAATATGTAACTCCCATCATAGGACAGTGACTTGGCCAATTTCTGTCACTGAATTCAATTTGTGGTTAATTCATAAAATTGGAGATATTTCCATATTAAGATAAACAACTGGATCTACTTGGAGCGTTGCACAGGTGAACGATGCCCTTCAATGCAAATGTTCAATAGCAGGACAGAAAGTGAAAGACACTGCTGCTTTGGTCTGTATTCAAAGAAGAAACAGTGCATCACAAACACAAAAGATAACTAAAACAGAAGAAGTAAAGCTTTAGTTTGGTGGTGATCATTCTGTTAGCTAGAGCCTGTTTCTGCATTGATTTATTTGTTGATTGACTGGTTTAAGATTGTGTTCATTGTAGTTTCCAGGCTGTTTATTCTGTTTTTATACATTGCATCTCCCTTTAACTGCAGAGCCAAACTATTGGCTCTAACTACTAATATGCCAAAATAAACATGTGATACTATTTGAATTATTTTGTAGAATAAATAATTCTAATAGATATTTGTCAAGTTGTTAGATTCATAGGTAATGAAAACATCATTAGTAGCAGTTCTAAACACAATACATACTTGGGTTTAAAATGTCATCACAGCTCCATGTTCTCTGAGATTTCATAACATATTAGAAATTAATAGGAAGCAACATCTGAAAAGATCAGTATAACATAATTAGCTGTGAAATGCCTGTGACACCTTTCTTTTCAACTGGTGGAGAATGTGAACTCTCTCCAGTCTGGTGTCCACATCACATCAGACCCTTGTGGTTCCACTAATATTTCAATCTCCAAGTTAGAGGTGGCATGCTACAGCAAAGTTACCTGACAAAGATATGTCTGTAGGTTTTCACGTAGAGGTAGAAGGCTAAGAGGAAATGCAATAGAGGTGTGTATAATGAGGAGGTGGTTCACTAGTCGCCAGTGGAACTCTGGCTCTCCTAACTAGTTTTTACGAAGAGATCGGTGATACATGAAATCGCTCTGCCATTATCAAGACAGTGTAACTGTAGAACAGCTTATCTGTTTCTTAAAGCTGCATTAACTAACTTCCTCCTGTAATTTTTTACCTTTAAGAGCGAAGTGAGAGTAAAAACAAACTCAGGCAGTATCCCTTCCCCTTCTCGTTCTGCTCCTCTTTTCCCCTGCAAATTTGAGTCCTTTGGATGCTTCTCCTGCATGACAGATTTTTTTTGCCTCGTTCTTTTTCACACTCGTTCTGTGCTACAGAACACAGTCTGTCTAACAGCTCTGCTCCCATCCTGGTTTGCACCTCCACAGGGAGCCTCCATGGTCTGTCTTTGAAATAAGCCATACTGGTTTAAAAAATGCATCGTATGACCTCGTATCAGTGTGGTGTGGAAAAAGTGTGTTGCAGAATTTAACAACAGTGGTCACAGAGGGCAAAAAATAAACAGGCCTGAAGATAGCAGAGTGGGGTGGGGGCTTGGTACAGCAGGGAGAAAATACTCCTAGACAAATTTTTACTTTGATTTATTCAAATTTGTGCCAAATTTAAGATAATGCAGATTTAATTTTTGAGTTAAAATGAGGTTTTGAGCATTCAGGAATAAATTGTGTACATAAAAAGTCATTCTGTTTTAAGTGTTACTGTTTAGCTCACCTTGTCCCACTGTCGCTCTCTGTCCAGTGTGATAATTATCATGGCTGGGTTCACAAGGTGACCATTACTGTTGAAGGAGAAGTCATTGTGTTCCCAGGTTACATTCAACATGTGCCTGCAGAAAAAGGAAAAAATGAGAAAGATGATCAAACTTATAGAAAACATGATTTGCAAGTTCCTGTAATCACTGAAAAATGCTCATCACAGCTTCCTAAAGCATAAAGTGACGTCTCGCTTGTTTTGTCTAATCAACAGTGCAAAATCCAAAGGCATTCAGTTTAGTATCATGTAAGATGAAGGAAAGCAGCAAACCACCACAGCTGAAAAGCTGAAACCTCTTTTAACATTTTGTCAAGTTGCTTATAGAATGAATGCTTATTAGCAACAGCCAGTGCACTGAAAATAAAAAGCCTGGTGATTTTAGAATTGACTATCAGACTCCAACCCTAGTCAGAATTATAAAGATTGATATAAATTCTTATCTTTCAATAATCAGGTCATAATAATGAGAAACTAATGTACTGAGCCAGAATTATTTGAACTTAAAAGCACAATAATTAGATTGAGAAACCAAGACATAAAATACAACAACAAAAGATCCATCCATTATTTATACCACTTATCCTAATGAGGGTCACAGGGGACTGAAGCCAGTGCCAGGTGACATTGGGCGGGTGGCGGGGTCCACCCTGGACAGGTCGCCAGTCCATCACAGGGCTGAGACAGATAACCACACACACTCACTCCTATGGGAAATTTAGAGTCGCCAGTCAACCTAAGCTGCATGTCTTTGGTCTGTGTGAGGAAGCCTGAGAACCCATGTAGGCACAGGGAAAATATATAAACTCCACACAGAAAGGCCCCGGGTCGGCCTGGGCTCAAACCCAGAACCTTCTTGCTGTGAAGCGACAGCGTTAATTACCGCACCACCATGCCACTTCAAAAAGAAACACAGAGATTTAATTTACTATGAGAAGAACATTTTATTAACTAATAATTTTGGAATTTATAGAGATCATACAACAGTAGTGTATAGGGAGGAGCTGGGAAAACCTGTGGCCTGGTGCAAAGCTAACAACCTTTACATCAGTGTCACAAAGACAAAGATGATGACTATGAGCTTTAGAAGGACCAACCCCCCCCTTTACATCGGGGGTGACTGAGGTTGAGGTGATATCCTGTTTTAGATACTTGGGGGTTCACATCAATGATAACCATTTCAGTACAGCTGTTGTACTGTGTAGAAAACAGTTGTCTGCCTCTTTTGATTCCTTGTTTTGTCACTCACATATTAGACCTGTGACGCTGCTCTCTCATTTCACCCGTCACTCCAGCAGAGGTGATAAAGGCCTGCCAGTAGGAGAACAGCCTTCAGACCGGTCTGTGGGAAAAGCCTATTTAATCCGGTAACCTGCTATAATCCCATTAACAGGTGAGCTAACTCATTATCAAAAGCTTGCTTGGGGAAAAAAAAAGAATTTCCAATCAAGTGAGGGCAAATCTGAGAACTGAGCGAGGTGTTTGAAATGTTTGATCTGACTAGAAAGAAAAAAGATGACTATTAAAAAGCTAATAAAACGTTCTGTGTTCTGTCTCGCCAACCTTGACATTACTGATGAGAGCTGCTGCTTCTCAAATCATGCCTGCTGGGTTTAGAGTGTCTCAAAAGAGGTTTGTACAGTATCAAAGCACAAGATAATTTTCACTTTTTCATGGACATTTTGGGCTCCCAAAACGATCAGTTGTCTCCCCTATGGCTCCAAGGACTTGAAAGAAAAATTTCTTTCAACATCAGAGGGCTAGAGTGATGTTTTGTAATGCAAGAGGATCATCTAACAATGAATGCATCCTGTTAACAGCTCCTTGGTGACCAACATACACACATACATACAGTGAGGAACAGAAGTATTTGAACACCCTATCATTTTGCAAGTTCTCCCACTTAGAAATCATGGAGGGGTCTGAAATTCACATTGTAGGTGCATTCCCACTCTGAGAGA